TAAAGATACTGGAATAGCTATTAGCCACCACTACACTTCTGAAGACTATAAAACCAGAAAGATACTATACCAGAATTTAAAGCTAGCTAGAAGTGTTGGCTTGGAATCAAAGATCCAGCGCAATATCCTTTACCTGGTAAAGACACTGTCACGGCTGAGCAGTTGTCAGAAGGTGCTGATTTTCAGGCTGAGATTCAGTAAGATTTGCTTATTTCACTTCAGGAGGGTGCATCAGATTCTAGAGGAGGCGTCTAGAGGAAGCAAGAATCAATCGATGAGAATAAGCTGAAACGATCTGCTTGCATCAAAAGTGTTAATAAATAAGCTCCAAACTATACTATTCCAATTCTGTTTTCTGAGTTGTTTTTTATTGATACACTTTATCTTGAATTTAGGTGCAAGGCGCAATCTGTGGATTCTTAATCTAAACATTAGATCATTAATTCCTAGTTTGAGCACGTTATTCGTATTTTTAACGGAAAAACAGACAGATATTGCGTTTCTGAGTGAGACTTGGTTAGATACATCTGTACATTCTGATCTTTTAAATATATGCTCCTATAATTTAATCAGAGCCGATAGAGATGGCATTCTGAGTGCAGCAGGATCTACTCAACTATTTACAGAGCTTTTGGCGTCATATGAACTCAATCAGCTTGTTGATACACCGACAAGAATCACTAACACCAGTCAAACTTTGATTAACTTACTAGTAGTGTCCAATCCTGAGGTGATACATGCCCTTGATTTGTTCAATCTGTGTGGTATTTCGGAACATTTAGGAATAATTTGTGAATTGAATATTCTATCTTGCTCTTGTCGCCCCAGGTTCAAACAATTCCGGGATTTCAAGAATTTCAATGTACAATTTTTCCATTGCGACTTAATACGGGTTAACTGGAATTATATTTACTCCCTGCGCAACATAAATGAGATTGTATCTTTTTTCAATACAACTCTACTAGAACTATTTGATCACTATGCTCCGTACAATTAGAGTAACTAAACTTCCCGCACCCTGGTTGACTTACAATATGAAATGTATGATAGCCTTGAGACAATCTGCATATAGAAAATTTAAAAAATCACGGGAACTAAGAAAAACTTGTAAATGTGGCTATTGTCCGCGAAAAACAATGCTATCTCAACTACGTGATAAAAAATAATAATGCAAAGCAGGTATGGGAAACATTATGCTCACTTGAAGTAATAAGGAAAAAAGACACACCTGAATTACCTGTTCACTTGTCTGATGTTGATGCTATTAACCGAAGCGTTTAGAAAAGTATGTCCATCAAAACACATCGCACACCTTTAGTTTCACCATTGTTGACGAGGATACTGTTAAAACAAAACTAAAAGTAATGCTATCGGTACTGACAACATTTCTCTTCAAATGCTGAAGATTGTAGAAAACCAGTTGTTGAAATACATCACGCATATAATCAATTTTTGCCTTTCACACGGCGTCTTTCCGTCTGTTTGGAAACATGCTGTGGTGCTGCATTTACCCAAGTGTAACAATCCAACCAACTTTAGTGACATTAGACCAATAAGCAGTTGACCACCTGTCTCTAAGCTTCTTGAAATGGCAATGCAAGAACAGATCTCATTATTCGTTACCGAGCATGGCTTACTTACCTCTGCTCAATCTGGCTTTCGAACTCAGCATAGCACTACAACTGCTCTCTTATCGATTACCAGTGACTTCTATGAAAATATTGATGGAGGAAAAGTAGTTTGTCTCACTATGCTTGATTACAGTAAAGCATTTGATACGATGGACAATAATATATTATACGAGAAGCTAAGGTATTATGGATTTTCAACCCCCGCTGCTGACTTCATTAAATCGTATTGATCAGACCGCTTGCAAAGTGTACTAGTTGACGGACAGTATTCAAAGTCCCTTCCTAAAAACTGTGGAGTCTCGCAGGGCTCCATTTTAGGCCCTCTTCTTTTTGCTATATACATATCTGATTCTTGTAAGATCGTCAATTTTTGTTCTAACCATCATTATGCGGATGACACCCAATTCTATATAAGTTTTCCAATACCTGACTGTTTTGATCCTGAAAATAGAATGAATAGTGATTTAAATGCCTTATATGAAATCACTTCTGCACACAATTTGAAACTGAATCCCAAAAAATCGATTGTTATGTTTTTTGGCAGCAAGATAAAGAGAAATTTAGCTAAAGACTGTATTAATATTAGAATACAAGGCGAACAGATATGTGTTGCAAATGACGCCAAAAACCTAGGATTGTGGATTGATAACGAATTAAGATTTACTTCGCATGTCACTTACTTATGTCAAGTATCATACGCTTATTTGAAACAACTTCTCCCTAGTCGTCACTTACTTCCTTTGGATACTAAACTTAAACTTTTCGAGTCGTTGATAATATCTAGATTGTTATACTGTGATCCTGCACTCAAAGTGGTTTATTCAGCTCGTCTCCAGCGTGTACAGAACTCTTGCTTGAGATTCGCGTTTGGCGTTGGAAAGTTCGACCATAACAGTTCCAAGTTTAAAGAGTGTAGATGGTTGAAATTAGATGCCTTGGGAAAACTACACCTAGCGACACTTGTTCACAAGGTCATTGTTAACAAGGCCCCTGTATATTTGTTGAACAAGCTACGCCCGCTTTCGAATCGCAGTCAACAGCGATGTAGGCACAACCTAATTATTCCTGGTCACACAACGGCAATCTTTGCCAGAAGCCTTTCCTTTAGTGCCGCTAAGCTGTACAGCTCCTTGCAAGATGATCTTAAAGACCTGTCACTTATCAACTTCAAAAAAAGATTGAAGCACTTGCTGAACTTTTAGTTGATGTCGTAGTTACTTAGTCCCTGGCTATGAATTAGGTTCATGACATGGTTTATCATGCTTTGTAATACTTATTTACTTCTTTTTTCGTGAAACAGTTCTCATTCAAATTTATGAAACATCATTAGATTACTATCATTTATATATTTTTTTGTACTGTTTTTTTTTTGTAGATTATGGAGTGTACTTGTGCGTTTAATCTTGATGTTTTTTACCTGGGCTAAGTTGAAAAACAGCTATGCTGACACTTCGCCTTTTTACCTGTGCTACTTTGTACTATGTGAATAAAGCCCCATTATTATAATTATTATTATTATTATTATTATTATTATTATTATTATTATTATTATAATACTTGAAAGTGCAAATTATGCAATTTTCGACCCGGAAAAACAATATGAATAAAGCAAAAATTGTAATATACATGATTTCTAATAAGTACCACGACAAACTTAAGGAGAAGGTAGGCTTTGGACTGACCTCCCAAATAACAAAAACTTACCTATATAAAAGTGTCACCGTTTTTGAGATATTGAATTTTTTCTTAAATTTCCAAAAAACTAACCTTTTCATCTGTGGTCTTTAGCTGCATGTACAAATAAGGTTATACTCTGTTCATTTTTTCTATAAAATCCGTCTAGATAGTTGCTTTATCATATACAAATGCAATGTAGTTAAAGGATATTAAGGATCCATGATAAAATAAGGACTATTTTGGGATTTATAATCTTCTGATATTGTTTCCTCAACTTTCATAAAATAATATCAGGAGCAGGTAATAATAATGTGGCTTTGTACTAGTTAGCATGTCACTGATCGGTAACCAGTGCAACTTGAACTTAAATCCAATAATTACATTGTAGTGTCAATCACTTACAAAAGCAGCTATCACTTTTTTCTATTCCAAATAGTACGTGTGGTGCCTTTCTGAAATCTGTATTCAATGAGCAATCTTTTTATTCAACATAATGCAGTTATAGCCCAGTACATTTTTGTTTTACCATAGGTGGTCAAAGTTGAGGAAAAATATCAGAAAGTAATAAATAAAATAGTCCTTATTTGACCATAGTTCCTTAACATATTTCAACTAAATTGAATTTGTATATGATAAAGCAACTATCTAGCAGTATTTTATAGAAAAAGTGAACAAAGTATGTGTACATGCAGCTAAAGACAGCAGATGAAAAGGGCCGGTTTTTTAAAAGTTAAGAATAAATTCGATATCTCAAAAACGGTGACACTTTTATATAGGTAAGTTTTTGTTACTTGGGAGGTCAGTCCAAAGCCTACCTTCTCCTTAAGTATGTCGTGGTACTTATTGGACACCCTGTACAGATAAATACCTGTAGATACCTATTATTTATTTAATGTATTGGTTCCTAAATTATTCATTGTAAAAATGACATTGTATACGCTTAAAAAAAGACTAAAGACAAACGTCAGCAGAAAAAAACTTGGAGCACCACTGGAACATAAGAGTTCATAAACTAAGAATTATAAAAACAAATTTAAAAAGAGCACAGACAAATAAAATCCAATTCTAATAGTGAGAGAATAGAGGGTATAAATACCAGGAAAGATAATATACATGTATTTAGACATAGAAAAATATATAAAATCATGTCATGATTGAGATATTTGTTAAGAATTTTTGGTTTCTCTCTTAACTATATCCAGAGGTAAGCATCTTAGAATATCTAGTAGTAATATTGCGATGTTTTTCAAACGCTTAATAAAATCCAGAAGCATTTTGAAGAATATAGCAATTTAATATTGTTCGTTTCTTAACTGAGTTAATGTATACTGTGCGTGACCGCGAAAGAGTCCAGGCACGACTGCTTGCTGCGGCGGAGATCTGAAACTATGAACTTCATAGTGGGGTTATAAGAACCTTTTTTGTCCAGAATAAAAAAATCTAAAAAACTACCCCGAATGAAGCAACTTTTTTTGTAATTTGTTGAACAAAACTGTTGAAAGATTTTTTGCCTGACAAAGTACGAGTACATAGTGGGTTCTTTCTTAATAGGATTGTCCAAAAAGCCAAATCAGAGTATTTATCCGACAGAATGCGAAGGTATTTCCTGAACTAATCCGATATTGCTGTGCAACACGCGAATTGCATTTCGAATAAAAGAAGATACTACAAAAGCCGTAACAATAAAAAGCGTATATTTCGTTCACTATTTATTAAAAACATTCATCTCAAACATCACAAAACAGTTTATATGACCCCACAATTTTCATTTCTTTATACTTGAACACACACATTCAGTGCGATTACAACCAGAACATTTTCGCTCGCTCTCGGAGACACCTGGAAAAATATAATGAACATTAATTGTACACGTAAGATGCTAAACCTCAACATCATTTGATAATATCTCAGTTTCATTCATAAAGTCTGTGGTATGCAAAGGTATCTGTTGTAATACAGCTTTCGTCAGTCCGACCATAGACGGCCGACCATGGACAGCTGTTTCGTGTTTCTTGCACGACGTAGACGCGATGTGCCTGCCAGACAGACCTGCCTGACTTCAGACTCCTATCCCAACTGTGTCGAACTTCGTACATCCGGAATTGACCGATACGACCGCTCCTTTGTCCCTACGGCACGGGTATTATGTAAAAAATCTATAAAACATTAAAAAAACCTATAAGATGTCATTTTGCAGACTAGGTAGCTTTTAGGGTGCAAACAGTCATTCGACATTTGCTCGGATCGTTGTGAGCGTGATCCAAAGCGTCTATCTATGGAGGAACGAGTCAACTAAACTACACGCATTGTTGGTTGCATATGTTTTGTGCAACCGAGTGGTCTGTAGTATTCAACTGTGAGAAGAAAGTTATTGAATAGCAAGATCGCATCTGGATGTGTATTCGTCGCATGTGTATAAAACCACTGATGCTTGGTGTGTGAAGAAATGATTACTGAACATTCTGCCAATGAAGTATATCTATTAGCTGTGCTGTGCTGTGTTATTTGTGATTTGCTTTCTGAAGAGAAGTTATGTTCAATGTTATAAATTACGGGAAATCACCACCGCGCCAGCGTTGTGTGTAATTACTGTTAGCATGTATATGACTTGTAATTCGACAATGTACAGTGAATATAATTATTTATCTCCCTTATTTTTTAAATTCAGCAAATTTGCATATGTAATTTCTAGAATGGATTAGAAAAATTGCATGTGCAACTAATTTTTAGCCTTGATTTCAAGTAAGTGTATTTTAGACAAGAATCCAGTGGAATTATCATCAACACACATTATTAGCAGACAATGGCTTAGCTTAGACCTCCAGTAATGCCATCTCTGAAGCAGATTTTACATCATATCAGAACCAAACATTGATAACTGATACATCATGACGTTTAGGCAACACGTACATCTACAAATGAGCTAGTAGTGCTAAGTTAAAATCTTGTCTAAAAACCTACATCATGTATAAAAGAAACCAGTATAATGTCAAAAAAATCGATATAAGGCCACTTTTCAAGATACGTAATACCCGTGCAGTATCGAGATTGTGGAGAAATCTGTATAAGGAGGCTTCACACAGTTCTACTAAGCTTGGGCAGTTCAACAATCGGATTAACAAAGTTTCTTTAGGCTTCTTACAACAGCTGCGGTGCCTCGGCATTTAGCTTCTGTCCATGCGGCTGCTTCGGTATAAAAAAATGGTCTCAGGTGGTACAACCAAGGAAACCTGCACAACTATCGTCTATACCTCTATACGAGGTATAAAGTCTGTTCAAGTGAGACAGCACAAAGTGCCATTTAATACCAGAGCTGACCACTGCGAGAATGAAATTAATAGAAAGTTCGTATTTTACAGTCACGTCACCTCTGTGACCGCTACATGCCATCGATTCTGGCTGTATCAGCAAACTCAGATTATGTTGAAGGAGCAACCTTACGATTTGTTGTCCAGTATGAAAGTTCATACTACAAGCAGACTTGACATAAGTTGATTGACGGTTTTGTCATCAAATTTATTATTAAGGTGGCGGACACCAACCAAGAGAATACAAAACCAAGTTAGTTTGTTTCTTATACAAATGTCTATTGTATCCTCAGTATCAAAGGTATCATTTCATTATTTGTATAGAGAACTCCGAAGATAAGAGCGATGACACATACAGTGGTCTGTGCAGACTCGGCTGCCGAATCCACTGAAGCTTCAACGTTGACACACACACAACGGCTTTTCAGTTGACAACCGGGCGGTCATTGAGAAAACGCTGTTGGGAGAGACCAAATGCAAGTAGTTGTTGCCTTTTAATTCGATCACTATAATTAGTTAATCTACATCGAGATTCGATTCTACGAACTGCAATGCTTCTGTTGATGACATTTTCAGTGGTAAAACAGTATGTACTAAGGCGCTTGAGCTTGTAAAAAACGATGTCCCTGTCTCATCCTAATTGATTCTATATATTTTTATTAGCTAATTTAGTTAGTTTAAAATTCTCCTGGTTGGTGCTCGCTGCCAGTGACATTTTTCAAAAATGCGAGTATTGCTAATTGTCGTGTTACGATTTCATGACATGATACATTTTGCATAATTTCCACCCCTAAGTATTATTATTGATACGACGCTATTACTATAGTAGGCATTGATAGTCAAATGAGTCAAAAGTATGCACTAAAACTACGCAGTTTCTGCGACAAACACGTAAGTGTGCAAATTTTCTAAATTAAACTGGTATTTGCCTAAATCACTGCAACCCGCACCTAGCTTCCATGGTTAATGGGTTGCGGGTTCTCACGATACGGAGTATACCGAATATATAATCTCTGTAGCTGTCTCCCAATCTCAAACTAAGTAACTTATGCAGCTAATGCACAAGAAATCGTATCGCAATTTCACATGAGGAGCATCAGTAACCTAAGTAGTGCGCCGGATAATCTTTTTTAGCATCAAACATAGCCTTATTTAAAAAAAAAACGTACCCCTTTTGTCGAGCCTCCGCTGGCTCCACACCATTTTCACGCTGTCAGCAGGATTTGGATTTTTTTCGTTCTTGTCTTCGATCACTCTGCCAAAGTCAACGTAATCGGCGTGACGCTTGGTATCAGATTTAGGTTCAGCAGTCGATGCAGAATCTACAAAAGAGTGAATTACTATTGTAACCTGTTCAAAAGGTACTAATTCCATAAGTATACTTTTAGCATGTGAACTGTCCGCTACGAGATGTCTCGTAGGTTTATCGGAATAAGGCAGCACAAAGCACTATCAATTACCAAAATCGATCACTGCAAGAATGTAGGTTGAAACTGTCAAGATCTCAGTTAGCGTTTGTTATCCCAGTCGGTCCGACGATAGACAGCTGTTTCGTACTTTTTGGCAACTCATCAGCATGGTCCAGGCTTGGTTTCTGGAAGAACGAACAACGGCATAGCAGTGGTCTATTCTGGTAACACTTTGTGCTGTCTTATTTCGATAGATCTCATACCTTTGATAAAGGATGGTTGCTTGCTATGCTCGCATTCGTTCGGTTTCACGAAAAAAACATTTCCTTAGATTGCAGCAATGAGGGTGTCCGTACTGGTAGAGTTTTCTTTGAAGCTCTCGTGTAAAACTATTTCTCAACAATGTTTGATATCTGGATATAATAGCTGTTCAGTCAACGTAAAGAGGTTCAGTGGTGCAGCGCTTTAGCACTGAATATCAACAGCTCTGGCTACTGCTGGATAGATTTATCCGTTTGATAAGTTTTCATTTGGTTGTCAGATTTGATAAATTGCTATTTGAATGTTGCGACAAGCCAAAGCTCTCCCATGGCTACTGTTTTCAACATAAACGGACTGCAGAGCTAGATGTATTTTAAAGTTGCATGCCCATGGAAGGGAAAGGAAGCGATTCATGCGCTTTCTGATTCCATTATCGAACATTGTTGACTGAGAAGTCGCATAAATTCGCCCCGATGTGGGTGCACCTTGAGTGGACGATATAACTAATGACAACGATGTTGCCCGCTAGATGGCGCTTGTGTGGTTGGCAGTCGAAGCTGTCAAACGCAGATGGGAAAAAGACAGATTTGCTAGCACGAAGACTGGAGGGCTAGCTACGTAACCGATACACGTATTTGTATGAAGCCAATTTTGTCACATTAGATGGTGTGGATCTCGGAAATCCAGTGGGCGTAGAACAAGACTTAAAGCGTGTGCGCATTGAAAAATATCAGCACAACCTACCGCAATGTTTATATGCATTACACTAACATTTTGCCATGCTTTCTAGGCTTATCACTACAAGGTTTACTGATGTTATCCAACACTTATGCTAGAAATTTGTCCGAACTGTCATGACAGCGACAGAGAGTTGTCACATGCGCAGAAATCGAAATTCATTTCCTGGGCAATGTTCACGTGAGAAAGATGGCCTATACGCAGTACCTGAAATTCGTCTGCTGCACAGTGCGACGACCCACTTCAGCGTCGACATTTATGGTTTCACCCTCACTCATTTTAGTTTAACCTCCTATCTGAAGTCTTCATGTTTGCTAGAAGGGTCATGGAAAAGGTAACCGATCTTTCACGTTTTGGCGTCTTTTGATATGTTTTTTCGTAGTCGCAAATATGACTAACTAGCGCCTTCTGCATTTAGCTTTCAAGATTCCCCCCCTCTCCCCTTAGTTCAACATCAGGTCCTACCCGTCGACATTCCATTCCCGCCGTCTTCCTCAGTAGTAGCTCCACTGTCGCTTGGATCGGCAGTCCTTCTCCTCCTCCTGTGGCCCCTCCTTCTTTTGCTTCCGCGCCTCCTTCGACCTCCTCTCCTCCTATGCTCTCTTACAGGAGTCCCATCGCTTGCATCGCTGTAGTCAGTCTCGCAATATTCGCAACATTCGCTGTCGCTCAGTTCGCCAGCGTGATGGCGCCTCCTCCTCCTCCTTGAAAAAAATGGTTTTCAATAAACGTCGGATATAAACTTCAATAGAAGCCACTACAATAAAGATATACAGCACATGGTTTTGGTGCTTCTTATTCAAGGTCGACCAATTTTGTAACCAAACGTATTCTATTCATTGCAATGACGGCATGGTTGAGATCTGGTTCTGATTTCGGACTGCACATCTGTAATGGATTTGAAGCGATTATGCAGCAATAATATTTAGGATTATAGCTTTGCTTTTATGCTCCGAATATGTTGAAACCCTCAAGCAAAACTTGAAGAGCTCAACATTTTTAGCTCAAACAACTTATAGTAATCGAAATTTCAGCCCAAACCAATATTAAAACCGGCATATTTATCTACATGTAGCCGGCTCACCCGGTACAAAGTAGATTACCATACCTCCAATATTAGTGTCACGTGCGACATATGGCATATACAATATCAATATTTGATGCGCTTGAATATTTGTAACTATTTTTCTACATTTTTGACAAGCCCCACCACTAAAACGGTATTATATAACCCTTTTTTTTCTAGGGAACTTATCTTCAAACCGCAATAAGTCCCTATGACGCTCGAAGGACTTCCCATTTAGCCTCTACTATAGCGGATCCACAAAAAGCACTCCAAAAATTACCCTAAAGCGCTTTTCGCTGAAGCTGGGCTGGACACAATTGCTATTTTTGAATTCTAAGTTCAGTACTATCACAGAACGGTTATGGAAGTGGAACTGCGCAAGACAATGCTATAAGGGGAAGATATCTGAAGCGGTTATAACAGTCCGTGAACTATCAGAATTTTTCCAAAACCCGAACTGCCTGAACCCAGGAACTACGGCAACAAATAAGAGAACATTTGTCAGTAACTATAACCAAACTGTTTTTTATAAAATTTTCACAAAAGTTTTCTACGCCGTTTGTTTTGTTTGTCCACTTTTCCTTTAATTTTAAATAAAAAACACTCTTCAAACCACAAAAAAGTAAACAGCACCTAAAGCAAAACCAGTAAAATAATTTTAATGACATCGGCAGAAGGAATACGCATGCCTGAAAAATCAGTTCAAAAATGGTCTCAGCAGTAAAGCAAAAACTGCTTGAACGAGTCTCGAACCACCCTAGAACTGAATCAGAATAAATCTTGAGCACCAAATTTCATAGTAATCCAACAGAAACCCGAACACGTTGCTCGCCAGGATACTTTACCGGATGTTCCAGTTCACCTTCTCGAAAATTGCTGAGAAAGTTACTCTGGAACTTGCGTAGAGTTATGTGCAGGAGCACCATCTTGCTGGAACCAGCAGCTATCAACCTGTGCCAAAGGCGGTTTTCTAGATCATGTTGCACCAATTGGACATACCGTAAATAAATGGGCTTAATATTTTGGTACGTAGAATTCCACATCATATATTAAACCCAAAACGTTATTGATTACTGGATGCTTTTTTAGCCAGTAGATTGTCATGACGCGAGGGATGGGTGTTGCGGCGATTAAAGATACAATTACTAGTGACCATACTCTTGTCGGATCATGTTGTTTTTGAAGAGAAATTTAAATCTTCTTCACACGTTCGTGTGTACCAGTCACAAAGATGCCGGCGCCAGTGGCTATGCTTGGCAAATCCTGAATTTATAGGGGTGATATTTATTTTGATGCAAAATAAATTGGGCTGTGGATTTGGTTACTCCTGTATTTTTCTCAATTTGCCTAGTTGGTATCTCAAAGTTCTGAGTAACGGCTTGTTAAACTCTATTCTGAGTTTCCTCTAAAGATTCCTTTTTCCGAGACGTAACAGGCTTTGTCAAGCATTTGTTTGCAACGCCTACTTGGAAAAAATAACAAAAATCAGAAATCATTTTTCCTTATAGCCAAGAAAGTAAATGTAACATGTCATACATCGTTGAATTCGTATGACAATGCTATTAGAATATACATAGAGTATACTTCTTTTGGCCCATATAAAAAATAAAGTTGATGGTTTCGCAAACGAACTAACCGTCGTGCACAAGCTTTAAATACACCATCATGTAGTTCCTTGAAGGTACTATTCGAAAAGTTTTATCTAATTTAACCTAAGCTGAATCTCCCACAAGTATTGAGATCCCCGTGGATAGAATCCTTACCTTGGACACCCTGTATACATTTTTTTAGGATATTAATGATATGATGGAGCCATTGTCTCACATCAACAAAGATCTAAAATTTAAAAATTACCTTCCACTCCTCCTACGCCGTTTGCTTCCCTTCCTACGTCGCCTAGCCATGTAGATCTTGTTTGATATGTCCCCATCATCGGTGGACCTTCGAACCAAGTGTCCAAGATCCAAACCCAACCTGAAGTTACATCCAGTACGTTTTATCAGGCCATTGTCGATACCGAACTTCAACGCCTTTTTCACCTGACAATAAATTAATAAAATCAAGTGGAGGAGAATTTTTGCAGACATTTTTTCCAATTTCATAAAATAAATCTTAAGGCTTGACTTGCACCAGTCAGTTTGAGCAGGCAGCTTGAGTATTGATTACCTAATCCTGCGGTGGTGGCATGGGGTGCCGTAATAGCGAAAGGATGCATCCTCAATATTTAAAACATTTTATTTTAAATTTTAGCAGCCTTTGAAACATCAAAAAATGAAGTTGAAGCGACTTTTGGTTCTGTGCAATTTTTGTCGGACCTCTATACACTTACCATGACAACTCCATTCCTTAAAATAGCACTTAGATGAAGAAATTCGAAAAACTGGGAATTTTAATGTCATTCGTCTTTCCATCACTTCTTCATACATCAGAATGTATGTATGTTTCAACAGTTTTTGAAATTCATCTCCTAGTAATGAGAATTTGACAAAGCCCGGAATAAGAAATCCATTACCCGATTGAAAAATTAAATATAGTTATAGTTGTGAGCTTACGTCGTTGATAGAAACTTTATCCTCCACGATGTCAGCGATCTTCTTGAGCGATGACCCTCTGTTGTCCTTGAGGTGGAGGATGGCCTTCATCACATCCGCTATCACCTTTGTTTTCTTTGATGATGGCATCCTGGTCAGCTCGCGTTCTTACGAAACCAGAAATTTAACCCAAAGTTATGTTCGAAATTTCGAAAATGAGAACGATGAATTTGGAAACCCCCAGATGTACCTACTCAATAATATTCCGCGATTATGAAAACTCTGGAAAAAGTAACGTTCAAATTTTGTTCATGAGAAAGTCAGTGTCAAACTTTCCATCGAAACGGGATCTTCAATTGTTTCTCCTGGTGGATCGGTGATACAGGGTGTTGGTCGAGCTGTAAATTGATGTGAATTTTGGTGTTCTTATTAGTTACAGCTAATGTAAGGCACACGAGAGAGGCGTCAATAAATCCATTGTTCTACGCAAAATATGATATTTTCCTTGCTACCTTGGATATTTGCAATGAGAAACTTCTAAAGTGGAGCTACTGGGAACCACCCCACAGAAACCTGATTGGGAATGACTTATGAGTATTTAAATCAGTACATTATAGATCTTAGTGCAGTCAACAAAATAAGCCACGAGCCTAAGTTTTCCGATGAGTATTTTTACTTGGCCCCATTCCATAAAAGTACTGGACTAGAGCTCATTACACAGCTGTTGAGAGCAATAAATGTGAAGAATATTGCTAACTTCTTTGAGACCGCCCACAGTGGTGCGGCGATTTCCACTTTGGAAAGGGTTAAAAAGAAGAATTTACCTCAACATTTTGCAACCCTTGTCCTTATGAAGCAGAAATAGCTAGAGTAGCGACCTGTAGCTGATCATTATAAAAAAAAATTGATTGATTTGTCAGAACATAAAGTGAAAAATAAATATGATTAATCTCTAAAACTTAAAAATACAAGTCACAAAAATAAAAAGTCGTGAAACTGAAACACGCACAAAAATTAAACGATACACTCTGGTTATTCAAAAATTAAAAACAAATACAGTGTGTTTCTTACATGAACCGAAAAAAAATATGGGTAATTGGGGACGCTATTTGATGATTTTTGGTGGAAACCATAATGCTCTAAGGGCTACGGTTACCTACAATGGCGCAGAACTATCGTGACAACTTTTTTGTTTGTCGAGATACTAGCACAAGATAAATTATATTCGATTCTGAATCAGACGAAATTAATGATTTGTACAAAGCTTCTCCATAAAATGACTTATGACCTTCCAAAGTCGTAAAATAACGCAGAGTGAATAAACAATTTTAATTCAAAATTCGAGTATAAAAAACCTGTACCTTTTTTTAGAATTAGTTGTATTTACAAAAGTTCTGTGGTTTATTGCCTTTACAACGAGATACTAGACATCATAGAAATAAGATGATTTGCGGTCGATAGACGAGAAAACAACTGATTAGGTTCAGGAATAAAGAATTTATTTTTTCAATTTTGTACGTTTTAATTTGGTGTTAATATATCATAAGGTATTTTCAAAATGACTGCCTTCATTTCTGAGACATGCTCGATATCTTGTCCGTATTTTGACGGTTGTTGAGTGTAGCAAGATCTCTTCTTTCATCTGAAGAAAGTCACCTTCAATCCTTTGCATTAGCACCTCTCTGTTGGGCACACCAATTCCTTCGCTCGGCCCCAGACGTAAAAGGTGTCGGGTCTGTAGACCGTGGTGGCCAAGACCACCCCTACCAATCCAGGCCGTAAACGGGTTGGACGTAACGAGCGTGGCAGCCATCATACTGGAAAATAATTGGTGCATCGGGTAAAATTGGTAGGAGCAGATCAAGCAATGCAGTCTGCAGGAATTCCAGGTAACTTTCAATATTTAACCGGTCTGGCAAAAAATAGGTCCTGTCAAAGTCTGTAAAATTACGCTGGCCCGCACGTTGACGCTGAAACGTCTTTAAAATCAGCACTGTCTTTCCTTGTGTGGGTTCTGGTCCCGGTCTGCCCAATAGTGTAGATTGTGCAAATTCACGATTCCGTCATGGTTGAAGCCGAACTCATCTGTTCACAAGATCCTCTTCAAAAGCTACCGTCGTCCACGTCCGTGTGAAGAATGAATCTGCAGAACTCTTGCCTTCTCGTACTGTCACCTTCATCCAGAGCTGTAACATAAATACGAATTCGGTTAGCACAACTGCACATGTGTCAAGGGCTAATGTTTATGACCATAGACTATCTTATGACTAGACTTTGACAAACTGTATACACGTGTTCATGAGAAATATCGATTTCAACTCTTATGCTTGTGACTGTGATTATGACAATGATCATTAAAATGTTGCATGAACCTGACAAAACTTAAAATTACATTACCTTGTACAGGACAATCATGAAATGGATATTTCCTGTTTGGCTGTAACACAGACCAGACTTTTTTCACCGACACAGCAAGTCTTTAAGCCACAACCCGAATACTTGTGGTAGGATCCGCATCATATGCTCTTAGGATTTGCTCATCAGTAGTCACACCGAGTTATCGACCACTCACCCTAGGCTCTTGAAAATTCATGCTCCCAGTCTCTCTCAGTCGCCGATATGTTGTTGCGAAGGTCCCATGGTGAGGTAACTACCGATCAAGGTATCGCTGCTGGTAAAGTCTTTGCGCTTCATGTGAATTGCAGTAAGCACTGCCATAAACCAGCAACATATCAGCATATTCCTCGTTACTGAACCTTGGCATTATGACAAAAATGAAACCTGATAATGACGGTGAAAACACTAACAATGACAAAAACAGAGACAACACTTCTGGTATGAGAGATAGTCATAGCTCGACTAGCCCTAATTTCGTAATGCACTCTTTTATCTATGAGATGATGAGGATCGTAATTGAAATGTAATTATCAGGTAAGCTCAGGAATCCAACACGGGTAAGTTTATCTGAAATTAATGAGCTGCGATACCGGGAATACATACCTGTCAGGTTATGGGATTAGACCTTTATGGCAGCGGTTTAGAACACTGATGATAAATCGTTTTAAAGAAGATAATTGCTTGTTGAAAAAAATAGTACAATTATTGTAAACCGTTGTTGTTAATACCCGAAGACGTCTTATGGAAATCCAGGTATCGGATGTCATTAACTTCAAATCCACCTGCATAAGAGGTATTCCTAATCTTTATACTCCTTGGCCCTTGCTAACTTCATTATTCTCAACAAGTGGAGCAGTCATTTCGAAAAGACTGATTCAAATTACATAACAATATATAAATCGCACAAAAAATCATTAGCTCGACACACTCTTTCCTTTAACTTTCATTGGAAAGGCAAAGAAACACGAAACTTTTTGGAATAAAACTAAGTATCACCAGAGGTATAGGTTTTTCGTAATCGAATTTTGAATTTAAAGTTGTTCATTCACTGCGTGCTATTTTGCGACTTTGGAAAGTCATAAGTCATTTATGGAATAGCTTTGTACAAACCATTAATCTCATCTGATTCAGTATGCTATACAAAATCGACTCGAATATCTTGTATTATCTTGACAAATAAAGAAGTTATAACGATAGTTCTACGCCATTGTAGGCAATTCAACAAAAAAAAAAAACGAAAAAAATCATGTCTCGGAAACCGTAGCCCTTAGATCATTACGGTTTCCACCAAAAATCATCAAATAGCGTCCCCAATTACTCATATTGTCGGTTCATGTAAGAAACACCCTGTATATTTGGAATGACAACAAAAGTGCCATCACTCGTACTTTTATGGAACATAAAAATCCAACTTTCCAATATAGTCCTGTAATTTGTAAAATATGAAGTAGTACTAACATATCGTGTTTGAAACTTACATGGAACACAATACCTCGTACTAGCACAAGCTACAAGTAAATTTACCTGTAAATATTACACCATACTCTATCGTTGTTGCCTGAACATCAACATGCTGGCTTAATGTTGTGTGGAATGCAAATTTGCTTTCTGCAGCATATTTGCTCTAAAATGAGGTGTTTAAAATATTCTTATAGCATAGTTATACAACACCTTATAGGACAAATTTTTTAAGGATGCATAAACGTTTATACAACTATTTTATACAGCATATTTGCGCGGTAGTCAAAATAGTTGTGTTGTGGCATCTATGGTAACGGTTATACAACAAACCCGAGCCTTGCTGTTTTGATGTGCACATTTACTACTTCAGCCAACAAATTGCTCCCAACGTAAGCACTTATACAACTGTCGTTTAGTAACTGTTAAAGGCTGTACATCTGCAACAATATTACAACTTTTATATAGTACAAATTGCTGTGCTCGGCATACATTTGTTGCTGGGTATGTTGGTATACCTAACTTTCTGCTGTCATCTTTTTAGCTAAAATGCCATAACCAATATTCTAAGACATGCATATTGGTTTAAAAGGTGTTATCAACTGTTCAAACAAATTCTGGGTAAATCATTCGACTCTGTCCGTATTTCATTTCAGAGATTTGTCAAACTGTTGTATAACACTTGCAGACAACACCAAAATATTCTAATAAACCAAAGACAACATGAACGAGGTCATGATTATACATAACCACCCGCCATATTGGGCAAAATATATTCCTCTATTGAAAATTAATTATGTTTCAGTTCGACATTACAGATATAAAGTGATAGACATTAGTGTAATTGTGTCTAAATATAGGATTTGTGGAAGATTTAACGCAGTTAAGTTCAGTTTTTCATCTTTAAAATCTAAACATACTTTTGATCATTATTAAAATATGAATCAACTACGAAGCCCGTACAAATTGCGTAACTACTTTGCACGATAATCACAATAAAATTTGCTGCGCAAGTAATTCAATAGCCCCATATCACAGTGTAAAGTTTATCATATACCTGTGTATGAAATTCACAATGGCCGATATGTAAGTAAACAAGATGACTGTAATGTGTTAGTAATATATTCTTCACTTCGCCTATACAATATCTAAGAAATGGTTGGTTGCAAAAAAAGTAGAATCGTGTAACAGAATAGTTGTATAGTTGACAAAAACTGAATCTTGCACTGACGCAAATATTCTATATCGGCTGGAAGAGCTTTACACTTTTGTTGTATAACTCGTACTTTAAGGGAACATAAACATCCAACTTGCGAATATGGTCCTGTAATTTGTAAAATATGAAGTAGTACTAACATATCGTGTTTGAAACTTACATGGAATACAATACCTCGTACTAGCACAAGCTACAAGTAAATTCACCTGTAATGATTACACCATACCTTTTATGGAAATTTTCAGACTGGTTCAGTCGTATGATTGGCTTTAGCTAACTAAGTTTTGCATCCATGATTTTTGTATTGATGGTAGCAACGGTACTTTCGCTTGAATCGTTCAATTTTGGTTGAATATAACTACGACTGTCAGGTTATGTTTCTTTAGAGTGGATTATTGCGAGTTCCTTCAAGGATACCGTATCTATTCCTGAGTTTCTACGGAAAATATATTAATAAAGGATATATCGGAATGTCGCTAAGCATAATGAAACATAATAGGTATTAATTTCACTTCCTGAATTATTAATCGAACAAAAAAGGATCATAGCTTGTTCCTTTTGGTATCTATGTAACATATTATTTATTTGATTCGTTTATACTTGGTGATTTAGACAATGATGACAATAATTCTAGAGCAAAAAGAAAATCCACAAATAACAAAAACAAGTTACATTAAGCATAGAAGCTAAAATGTCGCGTTAGTAAGATACAGGGTGTTATAAATTTCTACGCCAGATATGAGACTGAATAAGATAAATACATGAATTCTGTTCAAATAAGACTTTAGTAAGATAAGGTAACCTAGTAACTAGGGCTTTGAGTGATAACGACAACCAATTATGCGATTCACCAGCTTCGAAGAGGACTTGAGTTTTGTCTAAAACGTTTCTGGGTTCGTCGATTCTACGATAAGTACGTGCACAGAGGACAGAGAGAAAGTTGAACGATGAGTCAACAGCACGGTCAACATGGTCATGAATTGTAATAATGTGTTGTAATAAATTAGTGTGAGAGTAATAAATTGGCCGCAAACAGTAAAAACGGCGTTTTCGTTACAATAGGATTACTATCCTAATATGCTACATACGATTCAAAGTCAAACTTATTTTTAAAGTAGAACGGGTTGAATTTCTTTATATGAGTTTAACCACAAATATTCGTACATATTTTTCGTTAAGAGAAATAATCCAACAAAGCTGTTTGTGAAATTGTGTACCTGATTAAAAATGCATTAGATGTTGCTGTCCCGTACAGAATAATATTTCTTTCTATCTTTAAGACCGGTGTTTAAAGAAAACTCTTGTTATTTTTTGATATACTTGATGCCCTACATGCATGGCCACTGTTCTCTGAATTACCCTGTTTGATTTTATCGATCAGAAAGGATTATGTTATAGAGGAAACTATACAAGCAATATAATGATGGCTATTATATTCATTGTCTGAGTCAACGAATCTGATTCTGTACCTCAGAGCCAGACTAGGTTAAGTCTAAATGAGTAGTTTTGAGATAATTGTATTTGGAATATTTTTCTTGCATTGTATTGTATGCGACATGACATGAGTTAAAAAGTTGTAACTTCCTTATTATATTTACAATATTATCATAGCTTAACGTATTAAACCCATTTTTGACAAAAATGGACTTGACCTAGTCTGGCTCTGGGGTACATGATTAGATCAGGAGCCAAGCGTAAATGTCTATCAAAGTGACATCGACGTACACTTCTTTCTGGAAAGGATATTCAAGTAGATTCTGTACTGGGTGTACTCACGTAGAGCAAGGCAGAAGTACTATCTGTGCTGCATGAATAGCTCAGTTATTATCAATAAACAGGAATAAATTATATATCAAACAGCAACAATGGTGGAACGCCTGATATTGGAAATAGTGGGACCCCTTGCATGATTTTCTCTCGGTTTTTCTAAATAGTTATGGTGATCCTATCAGATTCTTGGCTGAACACCTAGATGAGCACATTTTGGAAATTCCTGCTATTTCATCAATGTCAAAATTTTTTAAAGTATTTTAATCAATTTTATTTTCATGGTTTTTTTGAGCGTCTTTCATAATAGAATCTCGTGGTACTAGAATAGGATCTTAAAATTACTATTTGCAACGCGAAAGTACCGTTAAAGTTTCGGCTTACCCTTTTCAGTATCCATTAAAAAATATTATGCGACTCCAACATTTTGCATTCTTTAATTGTTGTTAGGTATACAATTCTGTCAACAAACATTAGATTGGGACTGAGTGTCCAATAAAAGACGAAGTGAAATGAAATAAATCAAAATTACCTCACGACCGTCCAGGTAAGAACCAAATGTTGAGGTACATGATATTTAGCAACGCCTATGACTATAATGTATAATAACACTTATTGATAAAAAAAATCACTTAAATAGTTTGAGATGAAATTTTTGCGATCCACAGACACCTTTACTAGCTTCGACAACTGTCTGGAACACTAGGATTGTATGGAAATAAAAGTACAAATTTAATGGAAAATGTCAATAAATGACAAACTAGGTTTATCTTGTAGCTGATCTACTGCGGTTGAGGGAGACCTTCCCAAGGTTGATGTGAATATAAAATGCATCAGTGCAAGATATAATGCGGTTTGCAACTTTGATAGCACAGGCCAACAAAAGTGAGCCGTTTCTCTTACCCAGAAACTAAACTATATGAATTCGAGGCCCAAATCACTGAATTTTGTTGTTGGAGAAAACAGTGTGCCCTAAACTCCATCACATTTATTCAGCAAACCCAATTTTACAAATAGAAGAATAATATATATATATATATATATGTTTATATCAACAAAAACAAAAGCAAGGTCTCTTTACAGATATGAGCGCCTAATTTCAAAAACCTGTATGCGCCCCAAAAACAAAGCGATGCACTTATCACCGTTATTTAAATGACAAATTATTTTAGACACTAATTCGTAAACCGCATGTGAAGTGCTTAAACCTTGCCTAAAACCAAACTGACTCTTACATAACAGCTTATTGGAGTCCAAGAATTCAACCAATCTAATCTTGAGGCAATATCTTTGCTAAGTTTGAGATTACACTTATTGGTCTATAGGTATTCATATATTCTTTATCTCCTGCTTTGTGAATCGGTGTTACAACCGATGTTTTAAATTGTTTAGGTACTTTTCCCGTTTTAAAAATCATATTGATTATATGAACTAAGGGATCCAAGAGATATACAATACATGTAGTTGTTTGATTATTTTTTTGTCCTTAATTTATCTAATCCTGGAGAGCAACTATTTTTTAGACTCATTATATAGTCAATAATTTCAATCCTGTAGCTCAGACCTTCAGGATACCCTAACCTAAAAGTTCAGAAATAGCTATTTTTGGCTATATTTGGGCTTACGTAGCGTGAAACCATAGACATCATCTCAAAGTACAAGCCTTGGCCTTCAAATAATGTTGAGTTTGCTCAAACATATTTTTTATCGCCGAGATTTGGAACTTTTTAAATTTCCATTTTTCTGATCTATATCGGTTCAGCTTTGATGGAGAGAAAATATTTTTCATTGTAAAGAAATTGCAATCGAAGGTAAGGACGTTAAACTTTGCCTTGATAGGGTAGAGTGGGCATACAAGCAAATATTCTACCTCTTCTTTTAAATACCGTATTGCCACATAACCCTCTCTCTTTTTCTTTTTAATAACAAGTGTATGGAAATAGGGAAGGGTGCGGAAAAAATGAAAAGAAGGGAAAGTCAAGCAAACATGACGAAGTATGAAGTTCTGTTCCGTTCTGGTATTTGTTTATAAAACTGTTCTGAAATCGCAATGTTTTTGTTCCAGATATGCCGGATTTCGGCCTATTGTCCAGCAAGACAGTGACGGAGGTGCTCATGTTGGAGATGAAAATGTCTCCCAATGCCAAGACATATCTTGTATCAGGATATCCTAGGAATATGCGTGATGTAGTAGAGTATTCCGAAAAGGTAGGTTGATTATTTTTTATTACGGTTCCACTCTGAAGAAAGAAATTTCCCAATGCCACTTTATGAAAGTAATGTCCCACCTCCGAGACTCTTCCATTTTGTGAGATTGAAATCCAAGTCTGTTAGATAATACGTTCCGTAAAAATCAAAAATTGGCTCCGTATTAGTCTACCGAGCAAGGTTAAAATTCCGTTTAACATACTATTCGGGATCAAATAGCCTTAAGAAGTTGCTCCGGAACAAAAAAATATATTTTGCTTTAGCAAATTGTTTAACAGGTTTTTCCCCTTTCGGCAATCTCTTGAATTGTGTGTGTGATTATCGAGAAACGTGATTATGAAACAAATCAATTTAGAGTTAAAAATGATGTATGAAAGTCACTAATTGCTCAGTATTGAATAAGCAGTTGTAGCTGACAAACAAGTTCCCCGCATTCTCCTTAAATTTTGTTCCAAAGCTAAAAATATAATATACAGCACATATAAGTAACTCGATCATTACCAATGCTGAACGAGTGTTATTTATTTGTAAATTATGGATTGTTCTATTTGTATCATTTTAATGGAGGAAACTAAGAATTACTTGTAATAATCTAAAAATAATCAGGAAGACTGGGGTATATTTACCAATTCAATTATCGTGGAGGCCATGTTAGCGGAAAACGAAAGGGTTATTTGTAATATAATTTCTAGTTGTAGTTTTCAAAACAGCCTATGGCTATTTCTAGTGACTGACCGGACACTAAGATGGTGAAGTATCTTCTCAAATTTCAGCACGCTCGTAGGTGTATTTTTCACTTTCCAAGTAGCACAGGGCATTGGCCGAGCATTGTTTTTATATTAGATCAAAATTCATACATTGGCACTAGCATTCCAATCAAACACCAATATCTACCCTACATTGGCTAAACTTTGGAAAGCACATTATTTGGTTTTCTCTTTTAGCCCATATTGGCCCACTATGTTATGTTGCGATATAGATTTCAGAATATTGACATACTATTGTAATTGCGTTCGTGAACACAATATCACAGATAAATGATAGATAATATATTTATAGCGGAAGTTCAATATTCTTAAAACATAATATTGGCCAAATATTTTTCTTCATATAACACTAAAATTGTTGACCAATATCACTCCAATGTCGTTTGTTGATCGTTCAGCGAATATTCATAATATTAAATTTGTCCTATATTGGTTTACTTTTGGAAAATACAACATTTGATTTTATCTTTTGGTCTACATTGGCCCAATATGCTATTTTGCGATATGAATGGCAGAATATACATAAGCGCAGTATTGTAATTACGTTCGTAAATAAAATATTGCAGATACATTTTGGCATAATAAAGAGACATTGAAATATATATGTGATCTGATTCGGCCAGGCAATGAAGCCCTACAATATTTTTATAATTATTTCGGACAATATACGAAGTAGATCTTGCAACAAATATTGGATTTCAATATTGAGTCATTAAAGAATGGACGTACTGGTTACTGTAAATCATCGTTGAACCAGTATTTTTATTATTATTTTATTACTTTATTGGGATAGTAGTTACATTTTTACATAGAACCAATATTGAAAATTAATTTTGAGCCAATATGAAAAGAATCAATGCTTCAATGATGAATTGTAATATGCCAATAAAGAAAGTCCATATTGGGTTGATATAACAAATCATTATTGTAAAAAGGATCCAAATTTTTCTTGCACCAGTATCGGAAAGATAGTTTGGTTCAATTTATAGGTAATATTGTTACTATATTGGGACAATTCACGTGTGCTACTTGCATATATCTTCACAAAATAAAAACCAGAACTGCCCAAGGGCAAAAAATGAAGGGAACCTTGAATACAAATATTTCACTGACAACTCAAAATTAATATTTAACGCACAAACGGAATCGTGGGACGAAATTTTTTTAACAAATTCTTTAGACGAAGCTACAAATTTATTAATACACAAAATTCAAAAGTAATTGCAGTTAGTACTAATAAGGTTAAAATAAGTCACAAGGAAAAAAGCAGAAATGATTGGATGACCAAAGGACTAATAAAATCTGCAAACGAAAAAGAAAAACTGTATAAAATCATGAAATATTTACCCACGAAAGAAAATATAGATCATTATAATCAGTATAAAAACAAATTTATAGAACTTTTGAGAAAAGCAAAAAAAAATTACTATATAAAACAATTGAATAATAATTCACATGACTCTAGACACCTATGGTCCACTGTCAATGATATATTCAATAAGTCATCCTATTCAACAAACAATATTAATGAAATAAAAACAAAAACAGGACAGAAAACAGACAATATTCAGCAAATATGTGATGAGTTCATAGAATTTTTCACGAATATAGGAGGAAACTTAGCAAATAATATCAAACAAAATGCTGATATTCATCTGCATGAAACAAGACTGAATAATTCATTTGTATTAACTGAAGTAGACTATCAGGATGTTTTCAATGCCATTATGACTCTAAAAAATAAAAAAAGCCCTGGAGTTGACGAAATTAGAGCTGAACATCTAAAGATACTGGCCAAACAAATAACAGAACCACTTGCTTATATCATTAACAAATCCTTCCAATCTGGAGTATTTCCATCAGCTTTCAAGACAGCAATCATCATACCTATCTATAAATCTAATGATAATACGGACGTCACTAACTATCGACCTATTTCACTTATATCAAGTTTAGCTAAAGTTTTTGAGAAATTACTCCTTAATAAAATGATTAATTTTCTTAATAAATTCAAAATTCTAAATTCAAATCAATATGGTTTTATAGCGGGCAAATCTACAACAGATGGGGTATTAAGTATAGTAGATGAAATAACCCAAAATATAGATGGAAAAGTACCATCGATATGCGTATTTGTGGACTTACAAAAAGCGTTTGACACAGTTAACCACAATATACTTTTGAAAATCTTAGAAAGAATAGGTTTTCGTGGAAAGATGTATACTTTAATGGAAAATTATTTATCAAATAGACCGCAATCAGTAAAATTATTAAGCTCGTATAGTAAAGAAATGTTTGTTAAATGTGGTGTTCCACAAGGTACAATTTTGGGTCCTCTGTTATTCAATATTTATTTAAACGATATATTCAAAATTAACAGTACTGGTAAAATAGTCAGTTTTGCAGACGATACTGCTATACTCTATAAAGGTAAGGATTGGAACGACTTAAAAGATATTATCCAAAATGACTTTTGCAAAATTATTCAGTGGTTTAATAACCGGAAATTAACAATTAACTTTACTAAAACTCATTTTTTACCATTTTCATCACTATCTAATCATCTACCAAAATATAACCACCTTCGGTTTAAGGTAAATGATAAAAATATAAAAATCAATAGAGTTAATGATACAAAATATTTAGGAATTTATCTAGATCCCCACTTGAGATGGGATGTACATATTTCTCACATACTAAAGAAAATTAGATTCATAGCATATAAAATAAAATTTCTAACCGGTATATTAACTGAATATTATCTACGAATAATATATCAAGCTTTAATCGAGCCACACATAAAATATGGTATAGTAGTGTGGGGTGCTGCATGCACGACATACTTTAACGATTTAGATGTACTTCAAAGAAGAATTTTAAAATCAATGTTAGGCAAATCAAAATTATACCCAACTAATGACTTATATAATGATGCACAAGTATATGATACTAAACAACTTTACTTCTTACATACCATCACTCATTATCACAAAACTATTAGTGAACACGACATAATTAAACATAATCATAAAACCAGATATAAATTACGCGCAAAAAATGTTCCTAAACCAAACAAATCCCTAATGAAACGATGTCACCTGTATATAGCTCCAAAATTGTACGAACATTTACCAAATAATTTAAAACAATTACGCAATACATTAGGCTTCAAAAAAAATTAAAAAAATTTATTAACACGATTGGGAGAAATCAAATTAATAAAATAATCTCAAGTATTACACAATAAATGCTCTACCATTCTTACCAATAATTTCTTTGTTCTCTCTATTTTATTATATTTTGCAATTCAACATACATATGATCCATGCACAGGCGTTGTCCTCCTATGGATATATTATATTTATTTACTCGTTTCATGTTCCCTGTATTTTAGAGTAAATAAATATTATTATTATTATTATTATTATTATTATTCGGATAATTCTAAACAAAACGGGACCTTAGTAATTATTGTATTCGAGCTATACGCAATTTAACATCTGAAAAACCCATGAGAAAAAAGCCTTATCATTGAAGTTGTCAAGTGTCTAAATCAAAGTGCAAGACTTTCCCCTACAAGACTTGCCTGAAGAGTACTTTTTAGCTTAGTTTGCCGTAAAGGAAATTTTGTCCTCGTTTGGTAGACTTGTTAGATGCGGACGCCTGATTTTAGCGGACTGTATAATCTGGATGGATATAAAAGCTCCTAAGCTTTAATCTTTTGTCTTTCGACACGTTATTGAAAATCATCCTAACTAGAAAGAGAATCACGTACGTCACTCCAGCTCAAAGACCTGGGTCTCAAGACATGCCTGTCCTTACTGAGAAGCAATACGCACAAAAACTGTATTTTTTTACAGATTCAAATAGTCCAAGGTGTCATACTGATATCGTGGCGACAAAAAGTACTGGAACGACAAATAGACTACGGTGCCAAATTAGGTCAAGTTGTTTTATCACTAGCTCGTATGGAACTAAACAATTTCTACAAGAACGTCATACCTGTGGCGGAGTATTTCGACCAAAGCAACATGTTGATATCGGTAAGTAATCACTTGTGCGGGGGTGGGCGAAAAATCTGACGATCTCCACATACCAATGGTTTACCAAAGTTCCCATACAATGAATGATGGTGAAAAACCCCTAGGCTACCGGCTCATGCGCAATGTGTAGTTAAGATGTCGCTCTACCAAACTGGTTCACCCATCTTCTATCAGCCACAATGACCTATGCGTCCGAGTATATGCACAAATTGCCACTTATTTTCGTCGGTCTGTCGATCTGTCGGTTTGCCTGACCGCTAACCCTTGGCTCCGCTATAACTTGGAAAGTATCAGTCGGATTTTGATTACCACTGTTCCAAGGATGAAAAAATGATTTCAATTTTTGAATAATTTTTGCAGGGGTTAACATTTTGGGGCTGAGGGTGTGGGTTGGTGTTAGTATAATAATACGCCTTCAGCCTGGATAATGCTAAGCACCCATTAAATAAATTTTACACATCATAGGTTTTCCCGTATATTTGTACCTACAACATAAAATGATGAAATATTTTCAACACAAGCGTCATTCGCAGACACGTATACCTGTGTCGGGGTCTGATCGATGCGCTGGTTGCTGTTGGTAGGGCGGGGTAAACACTCCTAGATCTCAAAGTTAAGTTGTCAAATGGGTGGGGACTATGGACTATTTATATGGGCCTTTATGACTGACCTGATCCATTTTTAATCTACATGGGCTAACTTATGCCGAACATAATCATTTATGATCACAGCGTGGCTTGGGAAACTAAACAACCATTAATATCGCATTCCATGTTTGGTCGAGAGTATTGTGTTCAAGGAAGCCTTTGGTAATCAGATGTTTTCTCCATGAACATAATCAACACAGCACCTAAGCAAATCAAGTCAGTCAAACAAGCCCACAGATATCCTTTCTCTGCCCTAGCGTTATTTAACCCGCCTGTAGTCGCGCCCTGATTTTGTACTCTGTTGATCGCGCTGGGTCTATCAGACCCAGGCGAACTTTCCGTTTTCTTTGGTACAAAAAAGTCGTTCGCCTAGAATAACGCATGTACCAGTATATTTTTTGACATATGTCAACTAATACTTTCAACGATGGAAGATCGACGAAATGAAATGCGTTTATTGATATTTCTCAATAGATCTACATCAAAATGTCAAACCAAAAGCAATCAAAAAAAGAAAATAGTGAAATAAAACATTGAACGCAAAGATGTTGATCGATAAGAAACATTGACTTAACGAATAATGACAAATTAATTGCTGTCATTTTTAGAACCTATTTTCACCCCATAAGAGTCTTGACACTGCGAGAAACCTATATTCAGTCGCGCTGGGTCTTAAATCCGAAACATGGAACAACACACTCGGCTTTGCGACTGCGCTGACACTAACAACAAATATACAATCTTCATCACACTATAGGAAGGTAGTGGGGAGGAGACATCGGCCAGTGTTGTCACATATACGCAGTGGTAGGTTTTAGAAGCATATGGGTCAGTCGGACTCGGCGCGACTACAGGCGGGTTAACACTGTCCATCTGATAACGTTGTTCCTTCCCACATCTGCACGGCAGCGCCCACTGCGGTACCGCTGCAGCGAGTTGTCGTTTATTCCGTGTATGCGTCTTGTTCGCTGCACTGCGGATAGATTAGTCAGCCAGACCGGTACGCCGATCAGTGAGCATTGATAGCAGGAGTACGCTTATTGAAAACTTTTTTCAATCATTCAGTTTCAAAGGCTCTCTGCAATCACCATCTAGATTGTCTGAGACAAATTCATTGAGGTCTGCAATCACCAGGCGCACAGTCAGCCGGAGGAATTCAGGGTTATTTCTGACGTCAGCTAATTGAAACTGATGAGTACAATAGCAGTAGCAGCAAATATTTTTCGAAAATGATTAGGAGCTTTTGACACGTTTATATGTTCGTCACAATTAGACCGATTTTAAAAAACTGCAAACCTTTTTTATCCTTGTCACAGTAGTAACGTTCTCTGAAAATTTCATTAAAATCCGAGCGGTACTTCTCAAGTTATAGGTGGTTATAAAACTAGCGGACAGTCCGACAGACTGACCGGCAGACAAATCCTCGGAAATGAGTGACATGCTTTTTCGTGATGTACATGTCATATAACATCCAAAAAACATAATACAGTGGACCCCCGATAATCCGGCACCTGTCTAATCCGGCGCCCCCTGTAATCCGAAATGTCTTTGAATATGTATTACATACATACGTGTTTGACAATCTTCGCTAATGTAGATCACGCATATTTTTGAAAGTCGTCATGGCATACGTTTAATGACTATTACCGGAGAGAAACTTTCTAACGATGCCACCTGCATAGAGCCCTTTAAATTAAGATTTTTGCAAAAGGTGAACGATTTAAATCTTGACCCGTCACAGGTATGCAATGCAGACGAATCAGGGCTTTTTTGGCGTGTGATGTCTAGCAAAACTTTCGTTTCTTGTAACAAAAATCCGTACCTGGACGAAAAGTAAGTAAAGAGCGTGTAACCATACTACCATGTGCTAACGCTACGGGTATACACGCGCTTAAGATGATATTCATTGGGAAATCTAATAAACCACGGACATTCAAAAATATTGATTTACCTGTACATTATTACGGAAAAAAAAAGTTCATGGATGACAAAAGATCATAATTTTCTTCAAAAAGCGATGTTGCTTCTTATTAACGCTCCCGGTCATCCGTCTGAAGAAGAACTAACTGAGGATAAATGCATCATTGCGATGTTTCTTCCGCCAAATTGCACTGCACTGATTCAACCAATGGACCAGAATATCATTCAGTTTGTCAAGCAAGACTATAAGAAAAACCTACTTCTGAGAGCCGTATCACAAGACCAACCAATAGAAAAAACTTTAAAAGAATTTAATAAGAAAGACTTGGTTTTTGCTCTTTGTCAGTCGTGGAATGCGTTACCGTCATCAACTATTAAATTGTCTTGGAAAAAGTTATGGCCAGATATAGTCACCACTCCTAGCAACCTTCCACAAATCAGTATTACTTCGGAAGTTATAGAACAAGTCGCTACTGAAACACAGAAAGTCCGGAAGATTTGGAAATATGGTGCCGTGGAATGGATAAAGAGGAAAATGTTTGTCATGAAATGTCTGACGAAGAGATTATAAAAGACGTTTCTAATTATACAACAAACAATCAGAAAAAATAACGACGACGTGATTGCAACTGCTCCACAAGTCACAGAACAAGACGCAATTAACGCCTTTGAGCTAGGTTTACAATGGGTTGAAGAGAATGGTACATCTTACAACGAACTTTTACTTTTTAGAAGGCTGAGGGACAAAGCTCTGATCTCGCGTTATAACAACCTTAAACAAAAAAAAATCGATGAATATTTCCAAGCTTCATAATTTGATAAATTCATTAATGATTTTGATTAATAATCCTTGATTACTTTGGTACACATGTATGTGCATGTATGCTTAATTTTATAATAAAACGTAAGCTCTCTATTGTTATTTAATTTACTAAATTCGACATACATAAACTATGTATGATTTGCACTTCAAGGTACATACATATACATAACATATATAATCTTACCATTGGATATGTAATTTGACGGATTACAAGGTACTCTTTTGTAAAAAATTCCGGACTATAGGGGGTCTTAAGCAGTGCTCTATAATCCGACAAATTCGATAGTCCGACACTGCCCTGCATAATGTTTGTCGGATTAGCGGAGGTCCACTGTATCTCGATTTCGAAAGTTTCCGCGATTACAATACTTTCTAGCCAGTTTTGGCAGAGAAAGTCAGAAAAATAAAAAAAAAGTTAATTTCGACGATTCATTGACAGACTGCTGCTCTTTTTGGGAATATTTTGCAAGTGCTGCTAATGTAGAGGGTGCATTAAAACGCTTCTTATCCCGGTTATATTTACCCATCATTAAACAACAAACATCAAAATATTATATTTTCTACACATTTACCATAGAAACAGGACTAAGTGAATATAGCTAGTCAAGTTTCAATTTCATTTGAATTTTCTAATCCTTTTGACTCATTCTGTTTTGAACTTTAGAAATTTTGATGTCGGCGAATTTGGCTGAATTACACTTCATAAAATTTTATCAGGAGATGTAATGAAGGCAAGAGAAGCATATAGTCTATATACTTGACGCCATTTTTATCTCATTATCAAAATTGGTTGTACTGATGTTAATAGAATTTGGGGAGCTCCTCGATTTCTGAAATTGGTTCAGTAGCGGCACAACTATGAGATCAAAAGGCATAAAAATTTCAGACATTTTTCAAGCGGCGCTTTTGTATCTTCTGGAAAAGTCAATTCGTTATAAAAAAAATCCAAGATTTGTTATGCAATGCAGTTCAGGCTCCAAATCCCTTTGAGGTATTGTTAAAAAATTCTTGCGGGGATAAATAATTTTAAGATTTGATAAAGGTACCGCATTTGCGTATTTATGTAGGATCTTCGGTTAGAGCTCATGGGAAATTCGAAAATACACGTTATACGTATGTGTAGGAAGTGCTCAGTCCATTTGTTACTTATTTTTGTTTAACAAGGGTTTCCAGGAACTCTTTCACTGTTCCCCAAATACAGCCATTTTAAGAACCGTTTCGCCAGACTTTCCTACAATTGTAGGATGCTTTTATGGCATCTTTGATTTTCATAATCTTTTCTCTCCTTCAGAAAGGTTGGGGTATTTTCAGAGTCAGCGCTCACCTAATGTGAGGTTATGAATTTTTGTGAATCCTAAGAAACTGACAATACAGACGATAAAAATAAAGTTTTATCAGCCTGAAATTTCAATAAGAAAATATAACCTCAAAATAGAGCGCTAACACGAAGTAGCAGAAATTAGAAATACCTGTCTTTCTGAAGGATAGGAAAAACTATAAAAATCAAGTAGGTCAGCAATGCATCCGATAGTTGCAGGAATGACTGATACGGCCCTAAGTCATGCAAAAAATGTCCTACTATTTGACTCCATTAATCAACAGATATACACTTTAAGTTCTACGCAGTTACATAATCAATGTTTATATTTGGTCCCGCCATACCATAAATGTGGTGAGAAGGTGTATGCAAATGATTACGCTCATTACCCTTTAACCACTGTACTTCCTGGGAACGGAACAGGAATTTTTCGTTTGACACGCGAGCCGATATGCTTTAGAGATAGCGACTTGTGTTTTCTCTGGGCATGTGTGAAACTGCTTACAATTATAACTTTTATTATTTTGCTTCAACGCGGAATTTGAGTTTCATATGTAGTTTTCTCAGGAAAACTTGATATGGGACGGTAATCTCGTAGAGTTTGTCAAATGTGTTGAGAATAAGGAGTTCAGTATAGGGTATTATCGTTCTTCTCAGTACGTACCGCTTCTGCAAACTGACGGTTGCATATGTAGTAAACACAACCAAAGTCTTTATGTCATGGCATAGATACTGCAATGCGGACTAACGGATTAAATTCGCCGCATCGACAGCTTAGACTAGAATTGAAATAGCTCCGGATGATCAACAGTGTTACTTCAGCACATAGTACTGTAGCAGATTTATTACGGCATAAGTCAATCCACGCTTTATGCACTCAACTAGCTGAATTTGAGGATCGCTTCCGTTTGTCCAATTATTTCAATTCTTTAAGGTAGCGATAATTACACATTTACATTACTACACTATATCGTAACGCGTATATTACGGCGTACTATTTAAAAAATGAGGTCTTCATCATCACGCAGCCTCAAGCACACCTTAGCCTTGCAGACTTGCACTTGTCTAGCCACTTCCTGGTGCTTGTTCAAGGATTTCCTTCTACAAAATTTAAGACTCCTTCAGTTTGCATCATTCGGGGGCGTCTAGGTCTCCCACTGTGCCCACATCGGCATTGCCGCGAAAGTGCCTGTATCTCTATCGTCTGGGAAAGCGATCTTAAAACACTCGCGAAGCCTCGATGACACATTGAAGACTCCCGTCATAAATTCAGCGATGCTGGAGACTCAGTTGTTCTCACTTTTATCACTCTCGATGTACATGTTGTAGTTTATGAACGTTTTCTCAAGCCCCACGAAATTAAATAATTTTTTTTATAAAAATCAACTACGACAAAGTTGTACTGTTCTCCCCAAGCTGAGCCATGTATTACATGAGAAATTAGAATTAGAAACCACCGTCGCATTACCAACAAGTGCCAAAATTTGCGGTTTGCCTGGGCTCGCGACCATAACTTTTTTGCTATTAGTCGGATCTTTTTACATGTGGTTTTATTTTGAAGGTCTTACAAATACCTAGAAATCTTATATGAAGAGTTTTTCCGTTCCTGCCAAAATTTTCGACTGAATCCCAAAAAACACGTTTTCTCATTCTTTGTTGTCGAATAAAAAGTTTTCTCACAAAAATTGGTGTACCCATTTTATGCGTCCATGTTTTGAATACTCCCTTGAACAACTTGCACCAATAAAAC